GACAATAGGTACATGCCACCACGCAGGCTAATTTTTGTATTTTTTGTAGAAACGAAGTTTTGCCATGTTGCCCAGGCTGGTCTTGAACTCTTGGACTCAACTGATCTGCCTGCTTTAGCCTCTCAAAGTATTGGGATTACAGAAGTGAGCCACCGTGCCTGGCCTAGCAATTTCATTTTGTTGTTGTTGTTGTTGTTGTTGTTGTTGTTAAATGACCCTTATTGAAATATTTTCCTTTGTGCTTCTTAACTAGCTGGGCATTCCACAGCACCACTGTTGATGTCATCTATGATGTCATAAGGGTGGCGGCCACCAACATTACGGCCCACAGACTGGGCGGTCCCCAGGATCTCTCTTCTTTTTTTTTTTTTTTCATGATTATCAATAATACACAAATTATATTTTCACTTATTTCATAAAAATTATTTCATATAAGGAAAAAAAACTATTTAAATATTGAGTACCTTGAGAAGCCATAGCAAAAACAATCCATAGAAACTTTTAGCAAGAATACTACTTTATTTCTAAGTTACACCTTATTAAATGAAAAGCCAGGCAAATGATTAATCTTTTGCATCATTGTGAAGACTAAGACTTCTCAAAACATTACAGTAACAGTTAAATAAAAACTGAAAAAAAGTTTCGCTCCTCACTTTTTTTTTTTTTAGTCAACTAAATGTCATGCTTATAAATAGCTTATAGTTCTTTTGTTTGTTTGTTTGTTTTTTTGTTTGTTTTTTTTTTTTTGAAAGAAAGAAAGAGAAAGAGAAAGGGGGAGAGAGAACAGGAGTCCTGTTCTATTGCCCAGGCTGGAATGCAATCTAAAAATAGGTATTAAAAACCTCTTTTATGCCGATAATTGTGCATAACAGCTGAGACAGGAAGGAATAAGGGAAGAAAATAACAAACAAACAGCCAATCAATATTTCATTTAAGTCTGTGAAATGCTATGCAAATGCTGAAGAGTGATTTACTTCCAATTATGTGGTAGCTTTCAAAATAGGTGTAATATGATACTGAGAAAAATGTATGTTCTGTGGACCTGGGGTGAAGAATTCTATAAATATTCACTGAGTTTACTTGTTCCAGGTCTGAGTTCAAATCATAGATGTCCCTGTTAATTTTCTATCTCGTTGATTCGTCGAATACTAACAATGTGGTGTCAAAGTTTCCCCCGCTATTATTGTTCGGGAGTCCAAGTCTCTTTATAAGTCATTAAGGAATTGTCTTATGTATCTGGGTGTTCCTATACTGGGTGCATATATATTTATGACCATTGACTCCTGTTGTTGCATTGATCCTTTTACCATTAGGTAATGTCCTTCTTTGTTTCTTTTAGTCTTTGTTACTATTAAAGTCTTTTTTGTCAGAGACAAAAGTTACAACTCCTGTTTTCTTTTTCTTTTGTTTTTCTTTTTTCTTTCTTTCTTTTTTTTTTTTTTCCTCTCCATTTGATTGGTAAGTCTTCCACCAACCCTTTGTTTTAAGTCTTTGTGTGTCCTTGCTTATGAGATGGATCTGGATACATCAAACCAATGGGTTTTGACTTTTTATTCAATTTGCCTGTCTTGTGTCTTTGATTGGGGCATTTAATCCATTTAAATTTAGGATTAATATTGATATTTGTGAGTTTAATATTGTCATTTAATGCTAGCTGGCTATTTAGCCCATTCGTTGATATAGATTCTTCATTATGGAGATACTCTTTACGTTTTGGTAAGTTTTTGGGATGACTGATACTGGTTGTTCCTTTCTTGTACACTGCTTCTTTCAGAAGCTCTTGTAAAGCAGGCCTGGTGGTGATGAAATCTCTGAGTGCTTGCTTGTTCACAAAAAATTTTATTTTTCCTTCACTTATGAAGTTTAGTTTGGCTGGATGTGAAATTCTTGGTTGAAAGTTCTTTTCTTTAAGGATGTTGAATATTGGTCCCCACTCTCTTCTGGCTTGTAGGGTTTCTGCTGAAAGATCTGCTGTAAGTCTGATAGGCTTCCCTTTGTGGGTAACCTGACCTTTCTCTCTGGCTGCCCTTAGTATTTTCTCCTTCATTTCAACCCTGTTGAATCTGACGATTATGTGCCTTGGGGTTGCTCTTCTTGAGGAATATCTTTGTGGTGTTCTCTGTATTACCTGGAGTTGAATATTTTCCTGCCTTGCTAGGTTGGGAAATTTTTCCTGAATAATATCCTGAAGTGTATTTTCCAGCTTGGATTCATTCTCTTCGTCACATTCAGGTACATCTATCAAACGTAGATTAGGTCTTTTCACATAGTCCCATATTTCTTGGAGTCTTTGCTCGTTCCTTTTTACTCTTTCTTCTCTAATTTTGTCTTCTCGTTTCATTTCATTGAGTTGGTCTTCGACCTCTGATATCCTTTCTTCTGCTTGATCAATTTGACTGTTAAAACCTGTGCATACTTCACGGAGTTCTCGTATTATATTCTTCAGTTCCATTAATTCACTTATATTCCTCTCTAGATTGTCTATTCTCGTTAGGATTTCATCAAACCTTTTTTCAAGGTTCTTAGTTTCTTTACATTGGGCTAGAACATGTTCTTTTAACTCACAGAAGTTTCTTATTATCCACCTTCTGAAGCCTAAATCTGTTAATGGAACACACTCAATCTCCATCAGGCCTTGTTCCCTTGTTGATGAGGAACTGTGATCCCCTGTGGAGGCAGAGGCGTTCTGATTTTGGGTATTCTCAGCATTTTTATGCTGGTTTCTTCCCATCATTGTAAATTTATCCACCTGTCATCTTTGTAATGACTGACTTTCAAATTAGATCTCTGAGTGGATGTCCAACTTGTTGATTCCCAGGGCCAGAATCTGAGCAACCCACTGCACTGGCCAAAACAGCGGTGTTAAGATTCGTGGTGCTTTTCTGCCCAGGAATCTCCAGTCTGGCTTTCTTCTTGAGTCCCTTTTTCAATCAGCTGAATAGGCGACTCTGCCTTCCCAGAGCTCCAAACGTCGACCAAAAGGGGACCCAGTCCCGTTTACTCTGCACCAAGAACCGCCGGGCTGGCCACAAGAGTCGCACTGGGGACCCACCTGTGGGGCTCCTCTTCTGGGAATCTCCTGGTCCGTGAGCAACAAAAATTCGTCTGAAACTGTGGCGTCCCCTTGTTCTCTGTGCTTTCACTGAGAGCTACAATTCTGAGCTGCTAGTAATCAGCCATCTTCCAAGATCTCTTTAATTGTTCCAGAGAGTCCTCTGGCTAAAGATTGGTGCCAAATTTGTCGAGCAATGTTGACAATCTCATCGAAAGTGATATTCCCGCTGTGTTTAATGTTTTTCTGTTTCTTTTCTGTCTCTTGGTGGTTCCTTAAGGGCTTTGATGATCAGGGCAGAGGCAGAAGGCACCACCTCAATCTGGGCCTGTCTGTTCTGAATGGTCAGTTTCACTGTAATCCTCAGGCCCTTCCAGTAACCCGTTGCCTTGGCAATGTCATCACCAACCTTTTTTGGAGACAGGCCCAGGGGGCAGATCTTGGGGGCAAGCACAGAAGTGGCACCGACTTCACCCCCAGTGCACCTCAGGTATACGACTTTGGTCTCGTTGGGGTCGAACTTCGGCGGCATGGTAGAGGCGGCTGGTGTCAGATGAACCCGGATTCAGGACAATTGAAGAAAGTTGCACCTTGGCCTCCTCCAAGCTGAAAGCTGAAAGCAGCAATTTCATTTTTAAAGAAAGAAATACAAAACAATCTACCTATTCACACTTTCCCATCCATACTTTAAATTTAAAAAATATGAAATAATGAAATATTTAGCAGATACAAATAATAAATTATTTATATATAATGATATTTCTACTTCATATTATGACTACAAAGGTCAGGGAAGAGGGAGAGATACAAAAGAGAAAGAAACACAACACATGAGTGTCTTTTTTAAACTTGTCGAAGTTCAACCCAGGAGAAGGGAGGGGAGGGAAGGTTAAAGTCCTGATTCATCAACAAATACTACTTTATTTGTTAAAAATACAAAGCTAGGCCAGGCCCAGTGTCTCGCACCTGTAATTCCAGCACCTTGGGAGGCCGAGGCAGGCGGGTCACCTGAGGTCAGGAGTTTGAGACCAGCCCGACTAACATGGTGAAACTTCATCTGAGCCTGAGGCAGGAGAATCACTTGAACCAGGGAGGCAGAGGTTGCAGTGAGCTGAGATCGCACTGCCGCACTGCAGCCCGGGTGGCAGAGCAAGACTCCGTATCAAAAAAAAAAAAAAAAAAGAAAGAAAAAGAAAAGAAAGAAAAAAAAGAACAATGAAAAGACAGGAGTGGGTCTTTGAGATATCAGACATCAAAACTGAAACCCACCCAATTTTCCAAAAAGCCAGATGCTCATAGAACTGAAGCTTGCGATACATTGGTACACCTACTGCCTGTTGACAGTCCTTCCTCTTTGTCCCTCTGTTTTCCTTCCCTGCTATATATGTAAGTGCCTAACTTCAGTCAGGAGGAGAGACGGATTGGAGGTTTGTCTGCCCTCTCACCGGCTGATGTAACCACAATGAAGCCTTCTTCCCTGGCAATACTCGCTATCTCAGTGATAGGCTTTCTGTGTGATGAGCAGCCAGACCTAGACCAAGCTCCCGGCAATCCAAAACAAAATCATAATCGAAATCCACCAGGGAGCTCTTTGCACCCCTGAAACCCCACCTGGGAGGGGCAGTCAAGGCAGACTTTCCAGAGAAGGTGATGCTGAAACAGAAATTTTGAAGAGCAAGAGTTACCAAGCAAAGAACATTCCAGCAGAAGAAACAGGAGGTATTAAGGTAGAGGCCCTCAGGCGAGGGTCTTAATGGAATCGAAAACGGTTCAGTGGACGGTCAAGGTAGCAGTGAGAGGACGTGGGACAGGAGACCACAGCGCTGGTCCGCCAACCGCGCGGGCACTTCCGCGTCTCGCCGCCCAGCCCCGGGGTGAGTGGAAGACGACTTGAGAGGCGAGCTGGCGCAAGACAGGAGCAGGGAGTGAGGATGAGAAAGGTACAGAGTGGCTGGAGGAATCTCGCCTGCAAGCACGTCAGGAAGGGATGTCTGGATCCTGGTGCCAGCGACTGTGTGCTGGGGCGAGAGCCACCCTCGCCAGGGGTGCAGGCAGGCGAGAGGAGAGCCTGGGGCTTCGAGTCCGCCACACCGCGCCCTCATTTGTGCGCAGCCCCGGAGGTCTAGAGTGGGGAAAAACCCCACCCTCTCCCAGGGCCCAACCGAGCACCGCAGCGGGAGGTACGGGGTTGTCAAATGACAGTTTTGAGGTTCTAGATTGCCAAAAGAGCCAGTGGCCGGTCTAGGGCACCGCGCCGTCTGGCATCTCCCTGGAGGCCCCGGGCCTGGCCCGAGGCTCAGCGCAGATCCGCAGTCGCCAGGTCAGTGCGGGCCCCGGAGTGGATCCACGGGGCGGGGCGGGGCACTGCCCTCACCCGGAGATCGGCAGCCGCGGCCCAGGGGCGGGGGCGGCGAGACGCGGAAGTGCCCGGGCGGTTGGCGGACCGGCGGGAGGCGCAGCCGGGGCAGACCTCAGCTTGGCCCCGCCGCCCGGCCGGTGCTCCCGGGCGCAGCCACGCAGGCGCACTGCAGACAGGTGGGTCCCGGCCGCCGCGCGCTCTCTCCCCGTCCCGCCCGTAGGGTGGCGGGAGCGGTACCAGCTATTGCCCACCCCCAAGTCCAGGCCTTGCCCCAGGCCCGCGCCCCCCAGGCGACTGTGGGCGGCGGGATGAGGACTGGAGTAGGGCGGGTTCCGCGTCCAGCTGCGCCTGGAGACCGAGCTCGGGTGGGTGCCTACAGCAGGGCGCGCCCCGCCGGCCTGGGACCTCCAAGGCGTCTTCCACGTCCCGGTCAGTTTGGGGTGATGGCGCCCGGGGAGCCCCGAGGCCCAGGCGGCGGAGTCGGCACCGCTATGGGTGGGGGCGCCAACTCTGGGGCTCTCCTTCCCCTTCGCCATCGCCCAGGTTGAGGGCTGCCGGACGCCCCGCAGGAGGCTGGCTTGGACCACCTAGGAGCGAAGCCCGATCCCTACTTTCGATGCACTCGCCCTCGCTCTTCCCGGGCCACCTTCACCCTTTCGGAAAAGAGGTTCAGGTTAAAACGTTCATCCCCCGGGATCTTGAGGCCGATAGCAGGAATTATGCTAGAGTTTGGGGGAAGACGGTGTCAGGTAGAGGCGGCGTCCCTGGGCTGGTGGCAGGGAATGATAGACGCCGGGCCCCAGAGCAGCGGAGAAGGATGGGGCGCAATAGTTCCTGAGCTGGTTTCTGTAGGGCCTGTCCCAGAATTTAAGGCGGCAACAATGAAGAGGCTAAACGTGGAGGAAAAGTAAGACTAGCGTGGCCGCAATGCGCGGGTAAATGGCGAGATCTACGGACCCCAGGAGGGGCAAGAGCGGGTACCGGGAGCAGAGGCGGGAGTGGGGGACTTTCCCAACCTCGCAGCCACGCTGGGCACAGCGGGGTGCTGCTCCTCTAGCAGCAGGAGGAGCGGTCCAGAGGCCCCGGAGGTGGGGGCGGTTCTGCGGGCTAACCCAGGGGGTGTGCCCCAGTGGAGCCGGCGGGAGGCGTAGGGCTGGAGGGGAGCGGGGGCAGGGGCGGAGGACTGGCCTGGGCCTGGGCTTCCGGAGGGCCCAGAGTGGGGATAAGTAACCAGGACCAGAGAGGGCTCGGCTGTATGGACGTAGGAACCTCCTTCCTGCCCACACTCCCAGTAGTTATGGCGCCTGGGGTGCTGGGGCTGAGGGACTCCAAGAGTCTAGGGAGGCACTGGGAAATCACCCCTTTTTATCTAAAGGCCCAACTTGGTGTTTTCCCCCTGTACCCTGGTCTTCCCCCACCATGCCCCTGGGAGGAAACAGAATGAAGCTTCTTCTGGGCACCTGCTGCCCAGAGCCTCAGCCTATCTGGACCAGGGGGGCAGCAGGGCCCAGGGTGTGGGCAGATCACCTGGAGGCCTGGGATTTAGGGTCAGGGCCTGTACAGGGAACTCCTTGTCCTCTCCCTGAGCTGGGTGTGGGTTTGCAAGGAGACATGTGATCCAGACCAACCCTGGGCGCAGCAGGGAGCCTGCTGTCTGGCCACTCTTATGAGGATCAAGGACGGCTGTGGCACTTCCTCCCTCCCCCAGTGGCCCCCTGGTTCCTAAGTCTTGCAGCTCCTGGGTGATGGTGGGGCACAGTCTCCTGGGCTCCAGCAGGGCCCTGGGCTGAGCTCCCGGCTCTCCCACCTCAGCAGGGCCTCTAGGGCGCCCCCTGGATGCGTTGCTGCCTCACCCACTTGTGGGGGCTTCCTCAGGCCCTCAGCTGTTGGATTTCCCTCCTTTCAGGGGCTCAGGTCCATAGACTTAGGTCTAAGGCTGTATACATTTCACCCAGAGCCTCTAGAGCCTGAGACAGCAGACCTGTTCTGACACCGAACTTCCAAAGTCATGGGCCTTGATTGCGGTGGTCTGAATCAGACCTAGCCCTTTTCAGGGAAGGAGGGAGCTTCTGGGAGGATGAAGGCTGCTTGGGTTAGAGCTCATGTGGACCTGGCTGCAGGCAGAAGTCTAGAGGCTGAGTCCCTTCTGTGGCATGGTGGACAGACCCTCACTCAGCACAGCCAGGCATGTCTCGGGGGCTCCTACTCCACACCCCTCCCTAAGCTGCCTGTATGGATGCTGCCCTCTGACGCTGAGGCCGGAGTAGTCATTTCAAAACCTTGTTCTGCATTATACAGCCGTGTTGGCCGGGTGCAGTGGCTCATGCCTGTAATCCTAGCACTTTGGGAGACCAAGCAGGGCGGATTGCCTGAGCTCAGGAGTTTGAGACCAGCCTGGGCAACACAGTGAAATCCTGTCTCTACTAAAATACAAAAAATTAGCCGGGCATGGTGGCGTGCTACTGTAGTCCCGGCTATTCAGGAGGCCGAGGCAGGAGAATTGCTTGAACTGGGGAGGAGAGGTTGCAGTGAGCCGAGCTCATGCTGCTGTACTCCAGCCTGGGCCACAAGAATGAAACTGTCTTAAAAAAAAAAAAAAAAAAAAGCCACATTGGGCAGGTCTAGACTGCTGGACCAACAGCAGAGGGCAGACAGGCATCCCCTCTGATCTCCCCAGTTCCACCAGCACTGGCACAGCCTCAGCCCAGGGCGTCATCAAGGAAGCTCTCCCTGACTCTGCGCAGACAGAGCTTCCTCCAGCCACCCTCACTCAGCCAGAATTGTGTGCTGCTGGTGACTGGCACCCCTCTATTTTAGGGCCAAGGCCTCTCAGGGGTCTACAAATACAAAAATGGGTGGGGGCACACTCTTGCTACAAACCACACTAAATGCATAATGACTGCCTGCAGGTTTGGGGGGCAGGGAACAGCTCTGGGTGGGAGGTTGGAAATTTTGTCTGGGGGACCAAATCATGAATTTTCTCTACATCCCTTCCCTCCCTCAGCCCACAGTGAGTCTGGCTTCTGAGTTGTCCCAGCCTGGCCACTTTCATTTCCCCTGTGGTTGGGTGGTGGCTGGGGCAGAAAGCGGAACTGAGCCCCCATGTTCTGAGGCCGGGACAGGGCTGGAGGGTTCTGAACACCTCCCTGTCCCAGCCCAGTGGCCAGGCCAGCGCCTGCCTTACCTCTTTCAGGATATAGGCAGCCAAGCTGGGCTCTGAGGGAGGCCTGCGAAGCGAGATGCTAACAGCTCAGAGACGGCACTAGGCAGGTGCAACCCCAAAATGTACTGGGCAGTGAATTTCAGAGGAAACTGAGGCTCTGTGCTGCAAGGTCCAAGCAGGCCTGGAAAGACAGAGGGAGTTCAGCTCAAATCTTTGCTTCTTACTTACTGAGCAACACATTCACCTCTGATGGGCTGTGCTGTACAATGGCCCAGTTCTGTCTTCCACGCTGGGGTCTCAAATGAAAAGCCAAGGGCATGGGTAAGGGGAGGAGAGAAGGACAGAAGGGGGCTCAGGACTGTGGAGTGTTTCCAGTTCTGGGCTGGAGAGGGAATTGGGCAGGTGGAGGGAGGCAGCGAGGCTGTGGCCTGGGAAGCAGGGCTCCAGCCTGTGGGTAGGTAGCGGTTACAGCCGTGGCCTCTGCTTCCTGCAGTCTTCCTAACAGGCTCTGGCAGGTGTTAGGGCCTTCCTAAGTGCTGCACGAATGCATGTCCACTGGGAGGAGAAGGGGAGCAGGACCAGGAATCTAGGAGATGAAGGGCCCTGGAGTGGTAACATCTCAGTTTGGTGGCTGCTGTCATTGGAGGTAGGTTGAGTTGGTTGATAGGATTTCTCTAAAGATGTCGAGACTGGGGAACTTCCTTCCAGAGGGAAACTGAGGAAGAAAGGTAGCTCTGAGAACTTGGTGTGGAAACCCAGCCTCCATTCACATGTTCTGCTTTCCTCCAGGTGCCCTGGGAGCTTGAGATGAGATTTTTTTTTTTTTTTCACTCTTGTTGCCCAGGCTGGAGTGCAATGGCTCTATCTCGGCTCACCATAAGCTCCACATCCCAGGTTCAAGTGATTCTCCTGCCTCAGCCTCCTGAGTAGCTGGGATCACTGGCATGTACCACCACGCCCGGCTAATTTTTTGTATTTTTGGTAGAGATAGGGTTTCTCCATGTTGCTCAGGCTGGTCTTGAACTCCCGACCTCAGGTGATCTGCCTGCCTTGACCTCCCAAAAGTGCTGGCATTACAGGCATGAGCCATCACCCCCCGCCAAGATGAGATTCTTGTTGAGGGCATCTCCAGAGGGGATTCTCAGGGGATGGAGGCTGAGAAAACTTGGGCAGGGAAGAACTGAAACGGGGATGTGGACTGAGAGGGAGGCTGGCTTCAGGCTGAGCCCATGGGAGCGCTCACTGCCCCAGGTAGCCCAGCTTGAGACAAGACAGCCGGCTTTTGTCCCTAGCATCGGGCAGTCACTGACTGTAGCTGTCCCCGCAGAGCGAGGGGTGGGCCTAACCTGTGTTGTGAGCAGTGGAAGGCAGTTCTCTGGCCAAGGGGCTGCTCACTGCTGTTAGCAGCTGGAGGATGGATGCCCCTGCCTGGTAAAGGGCATTGGCTGGGGGGCACCCACAGCATTCACTGACTCATAACTCTTCCTTGCCTTCCCCCAAACACAAAATTCTGTGACACTAACAAGAAAGTTGATCCTTGGAAAAGACAGTTGGCCTTAAATACCTAGATGGACTAGAGAGACTATACTTTAGGGCCCATAGCTTGACCTCTGAGCACCCTTTTGCCATCCACCTGCAGACCTGCTGAGTGCCCTCTGGCTTTCTCCTGCAGACCCTCCTGCCATGAACCAGTCCATCCCAGGGGCTCCCACCCCGCCCCGCCGCGTGCGGCTGAAGCCCTGGCTGGTAGCCCAGGTGAACAGCTGCCAGTACCCAGGGCTTCAATGGGTCAATGGGGAAAAGAAATTCTTCTACATCCCCTGGAGGCATGCCACAAGGCATGGTCCCAGTCAGGATGGAGATAACACCATCTTCAAGGTAAGCCCGGGCAAGGAGGCTGTCTGGACCTCCAGGGTACCCAGTCCCTAGAACAGCAGTACACACAACATACACAGACAGCTCCTCAAGGCTGGCCACTCACCTAGCTACCGTGCTGCTGTGGACACCAGGCCCGGACGAAGGGAATGCAGACATAGCCACAGGTCACAGCTTTTCTTTTTTCTTTTTTCTTTTCTTTTTTTTTTTTTTGAGATGGAGTCTCACTCTGTAGCCAGGCTGGAGTGCATGGCACAATCTCGGCTCACTGCAACCTCTGCCTCCTGGGTTCAAACAATTCTCCTGCCTCAGCCTCCTGAATATCTGGGACTACAGGTGCTCGCCAGCACACCAGATAATTTTTGTATTTTTAGTAGAGACAGGATTTCACCATGTTGGTCAGGCTGGTCTCAAACTCCTGACCTCAGGTGATCTGCGTGCCTTGGCCTCCCAAAGTGCTGGGATTACAGGGGTGAGCCACCGTGCCCGGCCTAGGGCACATCTCTTCCAACCTGCACCTCAGAGCAATGTGGGGACTAAGGGTCCCCTGAAGACTTTCCCGTAACTCATCATACTCACTGTTTGCTCTTGTCTCACTTCTGTTACTCATGAGGGTAATATGTTCAGTGTACACATATGCTAAAGGAAGCCAAAAATCCACCCATCATTGTTCTAAAATTTTTATTTTTAAATTGCTCACTGCAACCTCAACCTCCTAGGCTCAGGTGAGTCTCCCATCTCAGCCTCCCAAGTAGCTGGGATTACAAGTGCCTGCCACCACACCTGACTAATTTTTTTGTACTTTTAGTAGAGGCTTTGCTATGTTGCCCAGGCCAGTCTCAAACTCCTAGAGTCAAGCAATCTGCCCACCTCGACCTCCCAGAGTGCTGGGATTACAGGTGTGAGCCACTGCGTCTGGCCCAATCTTTTTTTTTTTAATTGACATATAACAATTATTCATATGTACCTTTTTTTTTTTTTTTTTTAAGAGATGAGGTGTTGCTCTGTTGCCTAGACTGGTGAGCAGTGGTGTAGTCATAGCTCACTGCAACCTTCAACTCAGCTCAAGTGATCCTCCAGCCTCAGCTTCCTGAGGAGCTGTGACTACAGGTGCATGCCACCATGCCCAGCTAATTTTTTTTTTTTTTTTTTAGATGGAGTCTTGCTCTGTCTCCCTGATGAGTGCAGTGGTGCAATCTTGGCTCACAGCAACTTCTCCCACCTGGATTCAAGCAATCCTCCTGCCTCAGCCTCCCAAGTAGCTGGGATTACAGACACCCGACACCACATCGGCTAATTTTTTTTTTTTTTTTAATTTTTAGTAGAGATGAGGTTTCACCGTCTTGGCCAGGCTAGTCTTGAACTCCTGACCTCATGATCCACCTGCCTCAGTCTCCCAAAGTGCTGGAATTGCAGGCATGAGCCACCATGCTCAGCCTAATTGTTTGATTTTGATTTTTGTAAAGATGAGGTCTCACTTTGTTGCCCAGGCTGGTCTCAAGCTCCTGGGCTCAAGTGATCCTCCCACCTCAGCCTCCTGAGTAGCTGGTAGTACAGGCGCAAGCCACTGTGCTCTCTCCAGGAATGCTAGGATGTACACCGCCAGCCACTCCCTTTCCCTAGAGGCAGCAGGGTTGTCATTTTCTTTTATAGCTTTCCTGAGATGTTTTTATGCACATATAAGCAAGTATGCACTAGCATTTCCTCTACTTTTTTCTTTTTCCTTTTTTTTTTTTTTTTTTTTTGAGATGGAGTCTCGCTCTGTTGCCCAGGCTGGAGTGCAGTGGCGTGATCTTGGCTCACCATAATCTCCATCTCCCGTGTTCAAGCAGTTCTTCAGTCTCAGCTTCCCGAGTAGCTGGGATTATAGGTGCATGCCACCATGCCTGGCTAATTTTTGTATTTTTAGTAGAGATGGGGTTTCACCATGTTGATCGGGCTGATCTCTAACTGCTGACCTCACGATCCACCCACCACGGCCTCCCAAAGTTCTGGGATTACAGGCACGAGCCACTGTGCCCAGCCTCCTCTACTTTTCATAAGAAACGCTAGATGTCTGCCTATCCGTCTGTACTTAGTACTTCTTGACGATTGCTGCATGTCAGCATATAAACAGTTTCCTGCTTTTTCTTTTTTTTGTGCTGCCTGGTATTTTCATTCAATGGGTTGGCCATCATTTCACCAGCCCCTCACTGATGGATGTTGCATTGGGTATTTTGGATCATCTTTTACACACAGTGCCGCTGTGAATAACCTTGTATGTACAATATTTTGTGTGAATTCTTCTAAGATATTTAGGATGAATTCCTAGAAATCAAATAGCTTGGTTAAAGGGTTAGAAAGAAACATTGGTAATCCTCACCTCACCTAATTGCCATTCAAAATAATATCAACAGTTCCAGTGTACTGAGCCCATGCTATGCGCAGGCGTAGCTCTGAGTGCTTTATGGACATCAAACCCACTCATTTTCTTTGAGCCAGTGTATCACTCTGTCACCCAGACTGGAGTGCAGCACATAATCACGGCTCACTGCAGCCTCCATCTCTCCGGCTCAAGCAATCCTCCCACCTCAGCCTCCTGAGTAGCTGGGACCACAGGCGCCCATCACTAAGCCATTTCTTATTTTTGTATAGGTAATACAGTCACACAAGTCAACATTAAAAGTCATAAATGGTTTAGAGCAAAAAATCTCCCTCCTATCCTGTTTCACCACCAGCCACTCCCTTTCCCTAGAGGCAGCAGTGTTGTCATTTTCTTTTTTAGCTTTCCTGAGATGTTTTTATGCACATATAAGCAAGTATGCACTAGCATTTCCTCTACTTTTCTTTTTTTTCTTTGAGATGGGGTCTCAAAATTTGTTGAGACTAGCTAATTTGTTGTATTTTTTTGTAGAGACAAGAGTCTTGCTATGTTGCCTAGGCTGGTCTCCAACTCCTGGGCTCAAGCAATCCTCCCCCCTCAGCCTCTCAAAATGCTGGGATTACAGGAGTGAGCCACTGTGTCCAGCCAACATCAACCCCTTGAGTCTTCACTGCCACTCCATGAGGTGGACACTAAGATCAAGAGAAAAGGAGGCAGTGACATGGCCTGGCACACAGCTGGCAGGGGGCACATTCTAGATTCGGACCCAGCCTGGCTCCAGAGTGCTCGCTCTTATCCCCCATGCTGTCCTTAGAGATCACACCAGTTCATCTTCCTGGAAGCAGGGACTGTGGATACATCTCACAGCCCCTAGATTTCATGGAGTTTGCTGGCAGCCTGAGGGCTGGGGCAGGACTGTGGCAGATCCCCACGCTGCAAACCAGGTCTGGGCTCAGTGAGACTCAGCCTGTGGCCGAAGGTCTCCGCACACAGTGGGGTCTCCTATGGAACGGGAAGCTGACAGGGGCTGTGGTGGAGACAAGATTCTCTGTGGTCAGCTGTCTCTTCCTGCCCCAGGCCTGGGCCAAGGAGACAGGGAAATACACTGAAGGGGTGGATGAAGCCGATCCAGCCAAGTGGAAGGCCAACCTGCGCTGCGCCCTTAACAAGAGCCGAGACTTCCGCCTCATCTACGATGGGCCCCGGGACATGCCACCTCAGCCCTACAAGATCTACGAGGTCTGCTCCAATGGCCCCGCTCCCACAGGTATCAGGCCTAGCTCTGTGTGAGCCACCTGGGAGGCTGTGCAATGACCCGGCCCCCAGCCATGAGCTGCTGAGTGCGGGCAGGCCTGGGCCCCTCTAGTGTGCAGTGGTCCAGGACACACTGCCACGGCTTCCACTAGGTCATGACACCCAGGGCTTCCAGGAGTGGCTGGGATGGGTCACTGGTGGATCAGGATGGCTTGGCATGCAGTCAGGGACCTGAGTTCTTCTTCCTTACCATTGCCCTTGTTCTGGCTTCTGGCTCCAGCCTAGGTCTCATGACCCATGGAGTTGGGGAGGTATTTCCCCATCCTGGTGGCTGTGCCCTCCTCCTCCCGCTGTGTTGGGGCAGCTCTGGGGATGCAGAAGCCGCACAGGAGCTAAAGGCAGCCTCTCGGGGGATCTGGCTCCTCCTCTGACGTCGACTCCTTTACTGTCCTTTTCTCTCCCCGCTGTGCAGAGTCCCAGCCCCCTGAGGATTACTCTATTCCAGGAGAGGAGGAGGAGGAGGAAGAGGAAGAGGTGAGAGTGGGGCAGGGAGGCAGATGGGGCCCTGGGCCGGCTCTCTGCTGTCCCAGTGGCCTTAGGTTTCCGAAGCCTGGCTCCCCTAGAGGCCTGTGGTCCTCTCAGTGGCTCTTCCTGTTTCTTCTCCTGGGATTCTGAACGATAGGAGCACAGTCCCCACCTGCTCCTTCCCAGGACGTTGTCGTTACTCTGCGTGTGTGACCCGAGCAGCAGTTTGGGCTTGGTAGGTCTGACTCCCCGCAGAAGGCAAATGAGGAAAGTGAGGCCCAGGGCTTTTCTGACCTGTCTGGGATGGCTGAGCTGGGACCGCAGGCAGGGTCCCACATGGGCTAAGCTGAGGCTGGGGGAGTAGCCTCATGGTTCTCGAGTGTTATTTCCCCAGCTCAGTGGAATAACCTGTCCTCCCTTCTCTCTTATCTCTTCCCCCTTGGCCTTTGGCATCCCTTCAGCTGCAGAGGATGTTGCCAAGTCTGAGCCTCACAGGTGAGGCCGGGAGGTGGTGGTGGTTGGGAGTCTAGTATACGGAGGAGCTATAGGAACCATAGGTACCTGGGAGGAGGCTGACGGGAGGCTGGGGCGGCCCAGGGCTGGGAGTAGGTGGGCCTAGGAGGCAGTTCCTGGAGGTGGCACTGACAGCCGTCCACACACACTCTCTAGATGCAGTGCCGCCAGGCCCCGCCATGGCACCCTATTCTTTACCCAAAGAGGATGTCAAGTGGCCACCCACTCTGCAACCACCTACTCTGCAGCCATCCGTGGTGCTGGGTCCCCCTGCTCCGGACCCCAGTCCCTTGGCTCCTCCCCTTGGCAACCCTGCTGGCTTCAGGGAGCTTCTCCCTGAGGTCCTGGAGCCTGGGCCCCTGGCTGCCAGCCTGCCCGCTGTAGGCGAACAGCTCCTGCCCGACCTGCTGATCAGCCCCCACATGCTGCCTCGTAAGGACCCACGGCTGGGCAGGGGGAAGCAATGCTGGGGGTGGTGGTAGGATTGGTAAGGAGGGTGGAGGGTGCTGGAGCCCCTTGAGTGGGGAGAGAAAGTGGTAGAGCTGATGGGGCTGGGCCTGGCCACTGGGCGGCAGAATGGGGAGGTGTGGGGCTCAAGGACGGGGTGGGCCTGCCCTTCTGCCCCACAGTGACTGACCTGGAGATCAAGTTCCAGTACCGGGGGCGGCCACCCCGAGCCCTCACCATCAGCAACCCTCACGGCTGCCGGCTCTTCTACAGCCAGCTGGAGGCCACCCAGGAGCAGGTGGAACTCTTCGGCCCCATAAGCCTGGAGCAAGTGCGCTTCCCCAGCCCTGAGGACATACCCAGCGACAAGCAGCGCTTCTACACGAACCAGCTGCTGGACGTCCTGGACCGTGGGCTCATCCTCCAGCTCCAGGGCCAGGACCTATATGCCATCCGCCTGTGTCAGTGCAAGGTGTTCTGGAGCGGGCCTTGTGCCTCAGCCCATGACTCATGCCCCAACCCCATCCAGCGGGAGGTCAAGACCAAGCTCTTCAGCCTGGAGCACTTTCTCAATGGTGAGTGCCTGAAGTCGTGATCCTCCCGGCCACCTCTTGCCCAGGAGCACGGTTCCAGCCTCTGACTAGGGACCTTGATCTTGATGCAGAGCTCATCCTGTTCCAGAAGGGGCAGACCAACACCCCACCACCCTTTGAGATCTTCCTCTGCTTTGGGGAAGAATGGCCTGACCACAAACCCCGAGAGAAGAAGCTCATTACTGTACAGGTACGTCTCCCCTGCCCCAAAGTCAGTCTTGGCTTGACTTTGGCGAATTCTGGGGCTAGGTCTCTTGCCCCAGGCTGGAGGCTTAGGGCTCCCCAAACAGCATGAACTTGGCCGGCAGAGACCATCAAGGCTCAGGGCCAGAGAATGCAGTCTATTACTCACCCCTGATGGCTGCCCTCATGCACAGCTGGATCTGGCAGCCCTGCCATGGGTCTCCCTGTCTTGTCTCCTCTTTGCCTCCCAGGTGGTGCCTGTAGCAGCTCGAATGCTGCTGGAGATGTTCTCAGGGGAGCTATCTTGGTCAGCAGATAGTATCCGGCTACAGATCTCAAACCCAGACCTCAAAGACCGCATGGTGGAGCAGTTCAAGGAGCTTCATCACATCTGGCAGTCTCAGCAGCGGTTGCAGCCTGTGGCCCAGGCCCCTCCTGGGGCAGGCCTTGGTGCTGGCCAGGGGCCCTGGACTATACACCCAGCTGGCATGCAGTAACAAGGCTGCAGATGGTGACTGGCCCTGGCTTCCTGGGTGGCTGTGCAGACTAATGTGGAGGTATGACAGCCCCAGTGAGCACCTGGCTAGCTGCAGGGTCCCCCCTCTGGGTTTCCTGGAAGTGGATTTGGGCCAAGAAGAGCAGGGAGACAGGCCTGAGCTCCTGCTCAAAGCTTTGCTTTGAGGGTTCTGTGTTCCCGGGCCTCTCTCTCCTGGGCTCTCTCTGGTCTGGTCAGCCTGGCTCCTGAGAAACTCAGCCATGAGCAAGGAAGGAACCCCCCCCAACCCCCAACCCTTGGTCCTAGTTTACAGGAGGAATTGCCTAAGGATGGCCCACTCTTGTGATTGCCCCATTTCCTCTGGCAAAAAAAACCAGAGTGTTGTGAGCCAAGTCCCCCCGCAAGGCCTCTGCAGAGTATGGCCGTGATTTCCCTGGTTTGAGCCTCACTTCCTCATCTTCCTCTCCTCTGAGATAGATATGAGTGACCACTTAGGCATCACATCAGATGCTCAAGGCTGGCAGCTCCCCCTTTTCTTGAGAGTCCAAGAACCTGAGATAGAAAGAATTTGTATGTATTTTTGGATTAATAAATGTTAAAAACATACTCAGCTGTTTCTTTTTTCTGCTACCAGTTGCTCCCATGCTGCTCTGCCAGGCTGTTTTGGATGCCAGCTGTTCCCCGAGCACCTGCCCCCTGCTTGTGGCTACTGGCATCGGGAGGGCCTGCCTTCTGGGCTGATGAGTCAGTTGGGCCTTCATAAACACTCACCTGGCTGGCTTTGCTTTCCAGGAGGAAGCTGGCTGAAGCAAGGGTGTGGAATTTTAAATCTGTGCACAGTCTAGAAAACTGTCAGAATCAGTTTTCTCTTAAGAAATGGTGGAAAAGGACAGGCTAGCATTGCAGCTGCATTTGGGACCATTCAAGTCTGTCATCCTCATGTATATTCCTGTGCTATTAAACATATCAGGGCAATGCATCCTGATATATTTAATGTATTTATTATATTGTCCCCTGAGGTTGGAGTAGTGAGGTCTCACTGATAGTCCTCCCAGAGCTGGCAGTTAAAGAGCCTGGCACCTACCCCCCACCCGTGTCACCTCTGCAGACTCCAGCCCCCTTTCTGCCTTCAGCCATGAGTGGAAGCCACCCCAGGCCCTTACCAGATGCAGATGCCCAACTTGATGCCCAGCCATCAGAACTGTGAGCCAAATATACCTTTTTCTGAGAAATTACCCAGCCTCAGGTTTTCCGTTACAGGAACACCAAATGGATGAAACCCCTATAAATGTCCAAGGATACCTTGCCCCACAGCCTCATCCACAGACTATATTGTCACTGCTCAGATTTTTGCCAGCCTGACAGGTGAGATGGTATCTCAGTGCCACTTCTCATTATGAGCAAGGCTGAGAAGCTTTTCACATGGTTAAGTGCCTGTACAGATTTTTTTAAATAAATAATTTTAGAATGGTTTTAGATTTAAGGAAAAGTTCCTAATAGAGTTCCTATGTACCCCCATTTTCTCCAGTTGTTAACATCTTACATTACTACGACACACTTGAGACAACTAACGAAACCATGTGGACAATTACGATCAACTCAACTTTCTTCCTTGGATTTCATTAGTTTTTCTCTGATAACCTTTTTCGGTTCCAGAATGCTATCCAAGATATAACATTACATTCACTTGTCACGTCTTAGACTCCTCTGGTCTATGACAGTTTCTTAAGACTTTTCTTGTTGTTGATCTTGATGGTTTTGAGGAATACTGGTAATTTCTTAAAGCATGTCCTTCAGTTTGGGCTTATCTGATGTACTCATTTGTTTTTAGAGATAGGGTCTCACTCTGTTGCTTAGGCTGGAGTGCCATAGTGCAACCTTGAACTCCTAGGCTCAGAGGAGCCCCTCACATAGCTGGGACTACAGGTGCACAACACACCTGGCTGTTTTCTTTTACAGACCTGGTCTCGAAATTGCCCAGGCTGGTCTCAAACTCCTGGTCTCAAGTGATCCTCCCATCGTGGCCTCCCAGAGCTGAGACTACAGGCCTGAGCCACCAGGACCTGCCTGCTTTTCATGGTTTTTGTATGGAAGACCATCGAAGTGAAGCATTATTTCCACTACACCGTATCAAGTGTGCATGTGACAAACCTGATTTATCACTGTTTTTTGACCTTGATCGTCTGACTGAAGTAGTGATAGGTTCCTCTATCATGAAACTACTCTTCATCCTCCCTGTTCTAGGTGTACACATGTACGGTGGTCTCAGAACTGTTCACCTGCATCCTCTTAAACTTTACCAACTAGAGTACAGTGGTTGTATACAGCTCCTTTTGTCTTTAGTCTTCGTTTTCAATCATTTACAAAGGTTACCACCTTTTTTTCCTCACAGGCCTGTGCAGTTCTATTCCCTCCTGAAATTGTCAATGTTTTGAGATTAGGAGATGGGAGATGTCATATACCTGGTTTCCAGCTTCTCTCAAAAAGTGGCAAATATGAAAACATTATCATACAGTCCTCAAAGGCAATAATCAGCTGGAACTCTGAGCGGGGAATGTTCTCCCAGTTCATTAGGGTCCTCTCCAGGCCTGCTTCCTTTCACTGCTCTCCATGGCCCTAAGGGCGTTTGAGTTTGCAACCCTTGACGAATGGTGGAGCAGGGAGACCAAGTGTAGATGAACTGTGAAGGCTTGAAAGGGCCAGGTGCCCCACGAGACCACTGGTGGGCTGATTTCCCCAGTACTGATAGCAGTTGAGTCACTGCCAACAATCTTCCCTGCATTTCTATTTATTGGTTTCTTAAAAATAAAACATGAAAACAACAATAAAAAACCTGGCTGTCACTTAAGAGATTTCTGTGCTGTAGTAGCCAGCTGTGGATGAACATTATCCAGAAGTGACAGATGTAACAAACGCCACAGGTAAAGGCAGGCCAGTGTGTGGTATAATTGACTGCTCCCTAGCCAGGCTAGGGCTCCCCTTGGTAGTAGCTTTTGGCTGCTCTGGGGGCCTGTGCTGGGGCTTGCTGGAACCCACAGGATCTTGATGCCCACAGCCCTGGGGATGAACACATCCCTTTAGCCCCCAGCAGTTTCTCTCCCTTTTCAAGCTCCTCATCCCCAAGTTCAACCTCATAACCAACTAAATGTACCCTTTTAAGACTCCTTCCTATTATTCAGCTTTTCCTCGAGCAAAAGTACCCTGGCCAGGTACTTTTCGGTGGCTCACGCCTGTAGTCCCAGCACTTTGGGAGGCAGAGGCGGGCGGATCATGAGATGAGGCAGGTGGATCACGAGGTCAAGAGTTGGAGACCTGCCTGGCCAACATGGTGAAACCCCATGTCTACTAAAAATACAAAAATTAGCCAGGCATGGTGGTGAGCACTTGTAATCCAAGCTATTCAGGAGGTTGGGGCAGAATTTCTTGATCCCGGGAGGCAGAGGTTGCAGTAAGCCGAGATCGTGCCACTGCACGCTGGCCTGGGTGACAGCACAAGACTCTGTCTCCAAAACAAAACAAAACAACCCTTTTCAGTCTTTGTAGACTAGAAGATATCAATGGCTTTTCCCGTTTTTGCTGAAGGAGTATTCTTGGCAGGCAATGTTCTCATTTGCTGGTAATTTGTCCCCCCAAAATCAGGCACTTCTTGTTGCAAAATCTTGAATTTTTAAGGTCTCTTGGTTTTGGCTTTCATCTTATGATACATTTAAACCAGGGCCACACAAAGTAGACATTTACATACATTCATGAACGTCGATGCCATTCAAAAGCACAAGTTCCTTTATGTCTTAGGCGTCTATTCTCAGTTATTATTCTTGTTAACAACTGTCTTCAAACAGATACATAAGGATTGCAAGTTACTGTGTTTTTGTCGTCTTGCTGGAAATAGCCCCAATGGATGACCTGTGCTCCACATCACCATAAACATTTCATGGCTAATCCCATCACCAGACAATTCTGTGGGGGAGGTGAGTTAGGCAGTTAGCTCACCTGCCCACATGGATGGGAGATACTCATTCTATTTCTACTAGACAATGCCATGCAGAAACAGCATTTCCATTAGGGGATCTGATCCTGAACAGTTACTTTTAAAATTAAAATCCAGATGGGCATCCTTGCTATGTCAAAAGCTTCAGAGCAGCCCTTTCAAATAATCCATAAAGCTTAAGTAAGCAGTTAGGTTCTGACACCATTAATGACACAGGGCTGTTTACAAAGCTCTAGCTTTAGATATGCATTCCACATGCTGTTTTTCAGTGGCTGGGGAGGGTTGTAATGTCTTCCACATGTTTCTTTTTTTTCAGTTCCCCACACAACTGCCTGTGAAGAAAGCCAAATTCCTTAAACAGAGCAAAATCAACTGGTTATTTCAAGGACCTAGGGTTGGATAAAACTTAAAGGTTTTATTATTTAGCCAAAACACGAGAGGGATGGCTGGGGTAATCTGCTGATCCTTGGAATCTGGTATCACTCTTAAGTTTTTTCTCTCCTTCTAATATTGCCTCTTTAGAGATTAAAATCCTGTATACCACTGATGTTATGCTGGAAGGTTTGTTTCACTGACTGATTCCTACCATAGCTTGAGGATTTATGCTCAGGAGTGAAAAAGTTACAGTGACAGGCAAAGAAAAGGCAGAGAAATGTCAGTATCAACAACACGTATCACGTTAGAATATAACTCTGCAGTTATTAGCTCGAAGCCCAACTGCCATAACAGACTATGATTCCATTTATTAAAAACTCAGGAAAATGCAAACTAATCTAGTGACAGAAAGCAAACCAGAGGTTACCTGGGAATAGGGATGGATGGGAAGAGGTAGGACGGAGGGGTTACTTCCTGCCTCTTCCCATCCATCTCCATTCCCAAGTAACCACCGGGAAAGGTTCAAAGAGGGGCTCAAGAAAACTTTTGGCAATAAAATGTTCACTACCCCGATTGTGATAATGGCTTCATGGGTGTGTATCAAAGCTTATCAAAGTGTATACCTTAAACACATGCAGATCGTGTTAATGATACTTCAAAAAAAATTTTTTTTAAAGACCAATAAATCTGTAGGTCAGTAAACAGTCTACTTGGGTGGCCACAGTAGGAAAACCATACCACACTGCTGTTTAACATGATAGAGTAACCCAACTCTTTCCCACTGAGGTTTCATGAAAGGGTAAAATGTTAAGCATGACGACTTTTGGTGTGAATTAGGAGAGTAAAAGATGCAGAATGAGCCACTTCCCTGAAGTATGAAGGGTCTGTGGCATCAGGGCAGGGTCTGCTCTTTCAACTCCATCCCCAGATGTCTATCAGGTAACAAGGGCTGCTTCCTTAGCTAGTCTAGCTGTACCACTTCAGAGCTACAAGAGAGTGAATGAAAGTAAAAACAAACACTAGTTAAATTTTAAAAATTTATTCTTTTCTTTTGTTGCTGTTGATTTGTTCTTGAGATGGCTACAACACCAGACAGAACAGTGCCCTCATATCTGACGGCTGTGCAGGGCTTGCACTCCTTTGAAACATTAAGATCTGTTTTGGGCTTCCCTCTTCGGCCTCACCCTCCCCTTGAAATCAAGTAATTTCCACACTTTTTAGTAAAATACTAAACGACACATCATCCCTTGTTAGCCCTGTAAACATTTTTTTTTCTCCACACACCCTCCCTCTTTTTTTTCTCTCATGTCTGTGGGTGAATAATTTGCTAAGAAAAAAACCTTAAAAAACAAAAATTGATACATTTATATCCTGCCCCCCACCCTACCCCAGTTTTGGCTCTTCAAAGGTGGACAACCTGATGTGGACTAGAAACGGACTGAGAATGAATGGGGTCAGGGTTCAGATATCCATAAATTCTAACCCTGGCAGGTCCTGAGCATCACTGATGTGGCCACAATAGAAAGCAGAACAGGCTCCTTGCTTACTCCCCCTTGTCTAAACAATTCTAAAGGTGGGAAGAAACACCTGGGGAAGGCAGAAATTTCTACTCACTTGCGTTAAAAGGAGAGAAGAGAGAAAGAGGAGGAAGGGTAGGAGAGGAAAGAGAGGATAAAACCATAGAAAACCTGAACAAAGGACCCTGACCCTCTTCTTCCAATTGCAGCTAATTAATTCATTTGAATCCCCACGTTCTCCCTAAGTAAATATTTTGTTTCACAGAAAGCTTGTCCTTTTGTTTTTCCTTGTGCACATGCACACTTACTTGTGCATGTGTGTGTGTGTGTGCATGTGTCATCTGCTA